GGTGTCTCGCTTAATAATGCTGGACCCAGATCCAAAGCGGACGGCAGTTTGCCAGGGTGCCATTCTCGCCAGTCCGGTAGTGGGGGCCACGGAACCTTTCAGCCACGTTTGGGAGATAATGCCTGCTCAAAGAGCCTTTCTGGTCACAGCCCTGTTAAGTGTAAAGAGCCTATGTCTGAAAGGGCAATGCGTCAGGGCACAGTACTAATTAAGACGAACTCAACCCCCGGAGCATTGAAAAGGACAGCACTTGACTTGCAGGAACGTCCCTGTGAATGGGGGAAAGCTCTCATGGGCTCAAAAAGCCCAGGAAGACGCCTCCCGGACCGGCGTTGGCAAAAGCGAAAGACGGCACGGGCAGCAGGAAGCCTCAAACCCACACAAGGGGCTCCCGCAGCCGGTCTGCTCCCGCAGCAGCCCTCAAGAACGAGCACATCGTTCCACGGCTAAGAACGTCGGACGCGGGGAAACTTAGCATCAAAGGTAATTCGACGTTCAGTAAAGGGCACCGCAAGGGCAGGTTTGAGCAGGACCACCCTGGAATCAAGATCTCCGGCCCCGACACGCTTCGTTTTGAGGAACCACTGCCTCCGGAATTTTTCGAAGCCTTACGTAACATGTACCGTACTGGATATATGGACGCATACCACACGGGGAACCAAGACATCAACGAGCCTGGCGTACGGCAGCTGTACACGTCCCCCCTTACCGCGTTCACCAAGGTGTTAAGCATGTTAACTGGGAAACCTTTTTCCGTTAGACTAGAGCATTGGCTGGAAGGCTCGCGCTATCGGGGCAAGTTGGACTACGTGATCCTGGAGGACCGTCCTGATGGCCCACCCATCATCCTCTACATCATAGAATTCAAGGTCAACCTTGACAGTAAGGACCAGCTAGCATACCAGACGCAGCTACGGAAGGAGATGTACACAGCACGTGAGTACAACAGAGGTGTGGGTGCAGGTGACAGAACTGTCTTCGGAATCCTACTGGACGGCTTGGAGTTAGAAGCACACGAGTACCCCAAGAACAGCATCCCAGGGGACCATGAGATGGGCGTCGTAAAGCGCTTTGAAAGGCACCAGCTGTTGAAGACCAATCGCATCATGCCTAACCCCGACGGCCAAGACTCAGACTGGACGAAGGTGGCTCGCGCGGGCGCCTTTGACACGTGGATGCAGCACATGTTTGTCTCCATTGCGCCCCAGTGTGTGACATGGAGCAAGGAGGAGTGGACGCGCAAGATTGCTTTACTGGCATAGCTGGGGGTGCCTTCAATGAAAAGAACGAAGTGATTATACGGCACATTGCCGCAATGCGTGAATGGGAGATTGTACAAGGCTATGAACGTGCATTAGTAAAGCACATGCATGAACGTGACCTGAAGTGTTCGTGACCCTTCCCTTCGGGCAACAACTGCTTACTTGCGCATTCGCATTAGTTCCGAGCGGTGGATGATGACGTGCTATGCCCTTCAGCTGCCATCTCTAGTGATCACGCACATATGGTAACTGAAATAACCTCTGGGGGGTAGGGGAAAGAAGAAGAATAGGGTAGATATATATGGTGGCTTCATGACCCAAGGGTCAGGTCCAGGTCACTAGCCACTAGGATATGAATTCTGCAGTGGTCAAACGCAAGTGCTTAAAGTAAGTGTAGATGTAACACGCTGTAGTGCTAAACCCCCCGATCCCGAGCTGACGTACATGTGGCCCCCAGCCAGCAGCACATGCACGCACATACCGCAGCATTTGCGGCAGTAGTTGATTTCCACATACCTATAGCAGCTTACAGCAGGACAGTGGGAGCCTGGGAAAGGTCAAAGTGGAGGAAAATAAGAAACCGGCGCCCGATACAGGGGGGAAGAAAAAAGGGGACGGACTGAGGGTTGGAAAGGGTAGGGGCGCGTGGAGGAGGGAAGGGGAGGGGCAGGACGCGGGGGTTGCTTTGCAAAGGGGGAGAGTTAAGCTGAGCCGCGAGGAAACACCGTGAACTTAGGTTGCTTTTCAGGGGATGCTCTCTGTGCAAGGGGTAGGGAGACCGCTTGCTGCAATCCATATGCCTTTAAGGGCGCCTTGTATATGTCCGTACATCAAGGTGTAGGTGTCCCTGCCGTACAATACCCAGCAGTACGAGTCTTTCTAAGGTGTACAGCTGCACATGCATAATAGCAGGCGCGGGAAATCAACGTGCGTTTCGTACATGCACACATACCCGGTGCTGGATATTTACGTGTGTTCCAGAAGGCAACCAGTCCTGCTGTCGCGCCCCGTTGCCGGCATGTTCATTCTGTCGGCAGAGGCGGGTGCAACAGTGGCAGGTGTCCCGCGGTTCGGTCAAGTGATGACTGCAGGGATTGCTTGTTATTAAGATGGCAAGTGATTCTGAATATATCATAAGGTGTTGCGTTGGCTCCTGTGCTTTGGGCCTTGCTGTCTTGCAGAAGATACGTGTACGGCGTATCGCATCAGAGTGTCGTACGAGTGGCTTTCCTGTTAGGCAGCGCGGCGCCCGGGCTAGGGCGTTGCGCGCAGCTCGCAGTTACGCAAGTTGTAAGAGACAGTGCTTGATCCCCACTCGTCGTGGTTTCCTGCAGGAGCCGCCAGCTTGTATGCGCGTAGTAGCGTAGCCATTTGACTACCAGCGTAAACCAACAGCCATAGCAACCAAGAATAGCCGTAATAGTTAGTTCTAGTCTAGATCACCGCCCCTCACAGGCCTGGTCAGCTTGTGGCCCAGCCGCCTTGCCGTCGGACCCCAGACTGCGGCGCAAGGCTGCTGGGTGGTGCTAACCTGGTCTCAGGAGATCTAGGTGCGCCCCTCTCTGTGCAAGCGGGGAGCGAAAGGGGACCAGCTGGACCCCAGTGGCGCTAGGTGTGCATGCCGGCGTATGGGCGCGACACTGCTGGATACATGCAGACATATGCGAGGCAGTATGCTAGCCACCGAGTCTTGGCAAAGTTATGGTGTAATTTACAAGTAAGGGTTACAACGCATGCGCAGGGGAGTCCCCCCATAGCAAGTCCATCGCATGTCCCTAGGCCGGTGCATTGCACGTCACGATTGTCGCCATACGTCACTACCCCCGTCGTTGTCCCCGCGGCTTTACACGCCGCCTCATCTTGCCAGGACACGCCACCCTACGTCATGGCTGCTTACGGCCGCTTTCCCATTATGATAGCAGTTGCCAAAGACGCCAGTACACCAATGTTAAGTGTTCGCACACCCTCTAAGCGACCATACGCCCAATGGAAATCTGGATATACCGTCAGCAGCGAGGTAATCCGCCGGTAGCTGCTACGTCAACAGACTAGCTTGCCGTACAACTTACAAAAAAGCAAGCCGTTAATACGACAAACCGCTTCATTACCCATTCCCTTATCGGTAGCATCCTTCTATCTCCTCCTTGAAGTACAAGCGGAAGTACAAACGGTGCACGACCTATCGGCACCATTGACACAATAAGCCCAGCCATCTTCATTTCGTACCAGCGGCAGCAGCGGCAACAACAATCGCCAGACATTATTCCACTATCAGCCTATTAGCACACATGAAGTTACAAATAAACACGCCAGGCAACGCTTGCATCCTGCCACTCTGAAGACCCGCAACCCAAAAATAAGAATTGTAGTACAGTGAACGTTAATACACACCCTCAAGCTCCCGGTACACCCGCCGGTACACGCCCCGAGAGCCGTAAGAGCCCCTAACCCTGATACACTGCGTTGGTGTTGCATACACCTCCTCCCTGACCCCTCTTCCCGGCATGCAATGCAAAAGAGGTAGAAAAAAGCCCAACAAAGCTGCAGCCGCTGCTGCCGGTTCCTTCAGACACGGTTCCTTTCCTCGGTCCTATCCTTTCCCTGCCGCCACGCCTCCTTCTCACGCATCCGCACCCCGGATTACCACTCTCACCACCAGCGGCGGTTGGCTCACCCCAACCCCCTCAGACCGCTGCCCCTCCGGCGGCTGCCCTTCCGACGACACCTGCCCCTGCTGCTGCCCTTGCTGCCCCTGCTGCTCCTGCCCTTGCTGCTCCTGCCCTTGCTGCCCCTGCCCTTGCTGCCCTTGCTGCTCCTGCCCTTGCTGCTGCAGCTGTTGCCGCAGCTGACGAACAGCCGCACGAGCCCGCGCCAACTCACGACACAGCCGTCGCATGCGCGCATAGCTGTGAGCAGTGAGGTGCTGCTGCTGCTTCTCCTCCTGATCCGGCTGCTGCTGCTGCTTTGCCAGGTGCTGCTGCTGCTGTGGCAGCGACGGCAGCGGCAGCACCTGTCGTACCCCTCGCCGCAGCAGCAGCTGCTGCTGCTTCCGCTGTCCCCGTTTAGCCATGTGTTGTCCAGATGGGGATTGGAACGATGATGATGACGAGGCGGCGGGCGACGCTGACGGCGAGGATGAAGATGACGTCGACGCAGGCCCCGCCACGCTACTGCCCTCGCCGTTGCCGCCGTCTTCTTCCTCCGCTGCCGCCACCTCCGCCAAGGCTTCTGCCGTACCGACTTCTGCCGTACCCCCGCTGCCGCTGACGCTGACGCTGACGCTGCCGCCGATCCTGCCGTCGTACTGTCCGCCATCTTCCTCCGCCGGTCGCTCCACACCCCCCTCAGTCACCTTCGCCGTCGGCGGCGGCACAGACTCTGCCAGCGGCAGCGGCAGCGGCGGCGGCGCTGCTGTTGTCGCTGAATCCTGAGCCGCTGCTTGCCGTACACCGCCTGCTGCCTCCGCCACCTCCGCCAGTGTGACGTCAGGCGGCGAGGAGGCGTCCGCAGGGGAGGCTGGCGGGGAGGCGGCGGAGGGGGACGATGCGGTGGGGACTAGCGGAGGTGAGGGCGGTGACGGAGGCGCGGGCGGTGACGGAGGCGGGAAGGAGGATGAGGAGGAGGGTGGCACCACGGGTAGCGACGGCGGAGGTATAACGGTGTGCGGGGGAGCTCGGCCGGCAGCAGCGGCGGGGGCGGCGACGGCGTCACCGTTGACCTCGGGAGATATGGCCTTGTCGGGAGATGTAGCTGCCGCTGCTGCTGCGGCGGCGGCGGGCGTGGCCGGTACTTCGGTGGCGGTAGCGGAGGCGGTAGGGCTGTCTTCCTCCTTTTCCTCCTTCTCATCCGCTACTACTGCCTCCGCCTCCGCTTCCGCTTCCGCTTCCGGCGACGGTGGCGGCGGCGGCGGCAACACAGAACTAGCGGCTCGACTGAGCGACGGCTGCTGCCCCTGTTGCTGTCCCTGTTGTGGGGGTCGTGCCGCGGAGTGCTCGTACGCCGCCGTCACCTGGTCCTGCAGGCTGAGCGCCCGGGCGGTGAGGTGCTTGCGCAGGGAGCGGAACTCGGGGGGCAGGCCCTCCATGCTGGGGGAAGTGGAAGAGGAAGAGGGAGGGCGGGGTGGGGGTCAATTTTTGGACCAATTAAAACCATAGAAAAACCAAAAAAGAGAGAAAAAGCAGGGATTCACAAGGCAGAGGGGGGGTTAATGGGGCGCTGGGGTTTCGGAGGGATTATTTGAAGTTAGGGTCGAAGTCAGACCCTTACCCAACGCACTTATGTAAGCACCACCACAACACCCCACGTTCCCCAACCCCATATTCTCATCTCACACCTCCTCCGCAACCTTCCCCACCCCACCCCTTCACCCGCCCTTCCCGCCCCTCACCTATCCAGCTTCAGCACCACCCGCATGGCCCGCTCATGCACCTCCGCCTGCTGCCGAGCCGTGATGTCGCCCCCAGTGGCCCCCATGGCCGCGTAGAAGGTTGCGGCGGCAGCTCGCAGCTCGGATGCGGTGGCTGCCAGCTGTCGCAGTGCGAGGCGGTGGCGGGCGAGTCGCCAGCAGCGCCAGGTGCTCTGGATGATACGAGCAGCCTGCATGCGGGGGAAGGGAAGGGGGAGAGGGGGGGAGGAAGGGAGTTGAGGACGGGGACAAGAGGGCTATATACGGGAAATGAGAGGAACAGTAGAGTGAGCAAAACGAGCGAGAGACATAGGAACAAAAGGGCCGCTGAGATTCCCTACCAAAAATGCTCAACCCTCGCCCCTTATTACCTGAGACCTCGTAATGCGGGAAGGCAGCGGAGTGGGTGAGGAGGCGGCGGCGAAAGGCCCCCGACGCCAGCCAGCAGCAGCGGCGGCGGTGGTGGAGGTGGAGTCGGACTTGCCTGCCGACGGTGGCGGCTTAGCAGCCGCAGCCGCAGCCGCCGTAGCGGCGGAGGCTGGAGGAGCTGTCGTACCGGTAGTTGCGCTGCCCGGGGCAGCGGCAGCGGCAGCAGCCGAGGGCAGTACGGCACTCGGTCCGCGGGACAGCGCTACCTCCATGGCAGGTCGGGTTACGATTGCCGTACTGCCCTGCCGATCTAGGGGGGGGCAGCTTCCGCCTCCGCTAGCTAAGGTAGTGGCGGAGGTAGCTGGGGCGGCGGCGGCGGTGGAGGCGGCGGAGGCGGGCTTGCTGGTTCTCCTGGTGGGTGCAGAGGCGGCAGAGGTGGCGGTGGCGGTGCCCTGATGGGGCGGGTTGTCGCTTGGCGCGTCTTGAGCCATCCGTACCTGGATGCGAGTGGGGCATCTGCCGCCGCCGCCGCTGGGGGCAGCGACGTCACCGCCGCCGCCGCCGACACGAGCCGCGCCAGATGCCGACGTCACCGCTGCCGGCTGCTTCTGCTGCTGGCTGGTCGGTTTCTGGGCGTTATTGTTGCTGCGGAGAGTGGGTTGGCGGGCGGCGGTGGAGGCAGCGGAGGTGGAGGTGGCGGAGGTGGCGGAGGCGGAGTGGGGTTCGGCGACGGCGGCTTTGAAGCAGATGCCGGTGAGAGGGTCGTACAGCCACACGGGCTGCGCAGGAGGAGGAGCAGGGGTGTGGTGATCAGGAGAACGGCGCCGCTGTTGCTGTTGCTGATGCTGCTGTGGGGGCTGTTGGGCCTCATCGCCCTCATCGTCCCCAGCCGCCTCGGCAGCGTGGGTACCCACATCTACGTCACCCTCCGCCTTGTGGAGGCCATGATAAGGGTACGGGCAGCGGCTGTTGTACTCCTCGTCGTCTTTGTCGTACGGCAGGTCGGAGGAAAAGAAGGGCTCCGCAGCAGCAGCCGTTGGAGTGCCGGTTTGCGCTGGTGCACTTCGCACGACAAAGCGGGGCCGAGTGCCGTACGGCAATGACGATGATGACGACGCTGCAGCTGGGTGGGGTTGTGGTTGTGGCGGTGTTGACGGTTGTACGGCTGGGTGGTAGTGATGGTAGGAAGAGGAGGAGGCGGTTGGTGGGGTTGGGAAATGGGGGGTGAGGCTGATGGGGTGGGGGTGGTGGAGGGTGTCGCGCGGGTGGTGGGGGTGTCCGGCTGCGGTGAAAGGATGGTGGGGGTGGTGGCGGAGGCGGCTGGGGAGGTGAGGAGGCGGAGGCTGGGAGCGGTAGGCGGAGGTGTATGCCGGAACGGCGCCGTGAGCAGCAGGAGGGTGAGCGGTCCTGGGGGAGGGTGAAAGGCGGTGCAGGCGGGAGCAGCGGTGTAAGCAGAAGAGTGCCGACAGACCGGTTGGTTCTATAGCAGAGGGTTGAGAGCAGGAAAAGGCGTAAAGAATAATACCGTATTATTCGTTTTAAACGGCGTTAAGAATAATACCGTATAAGTCTGCGAGAACAACCGCAAATATGCGGGGCCCCTGAAGGGTAATGTCGATGTATGGGTCAAGAATGGCCGACCATGTCTTACCTGGGCGCAGGGTAGGCAGGATGCGCGTAGGCTTGTGGGACTTCAAACAGCAAGTCCTCCACAGGAACAGCCGCGCGGGTCTTGTAGCGTGGGCGGCTAAACATCGGAGAGGCCTCGAAGCCAAATGGGAAGCCATCGTCATCTTCCGGGTAGGAGCCGTGGCCCCATCCATCCCAAGGGCCGCCAACGTAGAACATGGTAACGTCGACTGCTAAACGGCTAATCCGATCTGGGAAATATGCTGCTAAAGGAAAGTGTCGTGAAACGTAGAGCGAGCGGGTAGTTGACAACTGAAAGTAGCTCGTATGTGCTGAAGGTTTACGTGCCAGAAATTTGTTAATGTGTCTGCTTATTATCGGTGAACGTTATATAGCGCATGGCTTTTGTTGCACACCTGCCGTTCACAACCGCCTTCTGGAAAGGGCGCCCGCGTCGCGACCACTCCTGAAGTTACGCAGGAAGTCGCGAGAGAACACGCTAGAAGGGTAACCCTTACATATTATAATTTAATACCTGATTGCCAAGCGCTTACAACGTATGTTGACCATGAATCCATGAAAAGACCACACCGATGAATGGCGACTACTAAAAGAAACACGCGCCTGCCCAGTAGCTACTTTCAGTAGAGCTCGAAAAACGCCTTTCCAAAATTTGTTGGGGAATCAAATGTCGCGTTAGGTGCCGGTACCAGTATGCCCAATAATGCAAACCATGACCAAAACGCAACCTATGCAGGCCTCAAGTCTGGAAAGCCCAACAAAACTTCCATTCGCAGCAATGGCCAGCAATGGCTTGATCATGCATGATGCAGACATGCGAAAGGGCTGGTTCGTGCCACGCTGCCACCCATCTGGCTCCAAAAGGAACTTCTGTCTGTCTGGAAGCTGGCCTAAGGATAGGACCCACACCCATTCAAATCCCCCCACCATTCGTCCAACCTTCTAAACACGGTCAACACCATTATCACAGACAACCCAGCTGCGCTCCCAGCGCCAGCAGCAACCCACACAACCAACCCCAACCACCATCAACTCCACATCAGGGCTCCCATCAACTGTACTTATTATTACCGTACGCATCACGTGTCAAAACCCAAAGTACGGCACCTCAACAGCACGGCAAACCCTCCCACACACCCCCTACCTTCCCCACCTTCACGGCTCACTCCTCAGCAACCGCTCCCGCTCCCTAGCCGCCTCCACCTCCGCTGCCGCCACCCGCCCCTTACCTCCTCCTCCGCTCCCCTTGCTAACCGCTCCCCCCGGCACCACAGAAGCTACAGCAGTAGGCGCACCACTCAACCCCCCTCCCCCTCCTGCCGCTCCCCCCCGGCGGCTACGGCTCCACGGCATGCTGAAATCCTTCATGACCGTACGACTGAAATGTACGACAGCCGCTGCCATCACAACCGCCATGACAGCTGCTAGGGCCAGAGCCCAGCCCTTGGTGGAGGTGAAGCGCTTGGAGGTCTGCATGTGGGGGAAAAGGAAACAACTAACTGACTGTGTGATAAGGCGTCATCATGTCGGCATGCGGGGGAGGTGTGGGGGAGGTGAAGGCAGGCAGGCTGAGGGTGACGAAGAGGCTGGTTGCAGGTGAGAGACGGTGAAATGAAGCGACTCCGACCCATGGGTCACTGGGGCCTCTATATCTACGGCGGTGTACACACACGCACACAGTACGTTCCGACGACTCGCGGTCAGGTGTTTTAACACACGCATGAACGCCGCCACCCTGCCTCCAGCAACTGGACAACAGGGCTACACGCCGCACCTCTTCACCCCTTCCCTCCCCCCTCCTGCTGTGCTCACTGCAAGAAGCAGGACACGGCCCCTCCCCGCCCACTCACCTCCTTGTCAGTCATCAGCACCTCGAACCGCTCCTCCCCCGCCTGCACCGCCTCCTCCTCCGCCTGCTGCGCCTTCTCGGCCGCCAGCACCGCAGCGCTGGTGATGTTGGGCCGCACGCCGGTGAAGGCCTCCTGCGCATGGGGGGGGGGTGTTGTGGTGTTGTGGTGGGGGGTAAAAAGAGGAAGTTGACGAGGCAGTGGTGTGTTGTGGTGGGGGGGCCGTTCACTATGACTGTCTTGCGCAGCACATCTAACAAAGGAGCAATTCCAGGTTGCTCGTGAGACGGGTATGCACTGTAGCTGCTATGTAAAGGAACGAAGCACCCCTCCTTCCTTCCCCACCCCATTCCCATTCCCCCTCGCCCTGCTTACCTCGTAATCCGCCTCCCTCTCCGCCTCCTCCACCTGCTCCTCCTCCTCCCGCTTCTCCTTCTCCTCCACCGCCGCCTCATAGTCCGCTGCGCCCACCACGTCCCCCGCCACATCCTCCTCGTAGTCATCAGCCACATTCACCACCTCCTCCTCCTCCTCCTCCTCCTTGCTCGCCTCCTCCTTGGCCCCGTCCTTGCTCGCCGCCGTTCCGCCGCCCTTGACGGTCGCCGTGTCAGCGCCCGCTGCCTTGGTGCCGCTGGGGGCAGCAGCAGCAGCAGCAGCGGAGGAGGAAGAGGAGGAGCCGCCACTTGCTACTGTTGTTGATGTTGATGACGATGTTGTTGTTGCGGGTTGTTGTTGTGTGTTGTTGAGCAGAACGGCATCCCCCGGGTGGACCTCCTTGGAGGCGGCGTGGGCGGCGGCCAGGGACTGTTGGGGGGGAGGGGGCGGAGGGGCAGGGGGGCAGGGGGCGGGGAGATGAGTTTTGGGGGATACCGAGGAGCGATGGATAACCGGGGGGTGGGGGTGCAAGGTAGGAAGCCAGTGTCCAGCCGTCAGGATTGGGACACGAAGCAGGGAAGCCAAACAGGTGCTACGGGCTGTTGTTGTTGTTCCCTTGCAACGGACATAACACCCACACTCCGCCACACCCCTCGCCCCCTTTACCCTTCCGCTTACCCTGCCCGTTAATACCATACCATACCACCCTCCCCTCCCTCCCTCCCTCGCCTTATCACACGGTCAATTAGTTGTTTCCTCTTTTCCCTCCTTCCCTCCCTCCTTCCTTCCCTCCCCGCCCCCCCACTCACCGCCGCGTCCGGCAGCCTCCACCCCGCCGGCACCACCACATACTTCCTCAGAGCCCCACACCCCGCTCCCGGCGCCGGCCCCCCCTCCTCCCCCTCCTCCTCCCCCTCGCATGCTGCCCCCACGGGCGCCACATACACAGCAAACAGCCGGTCGCCGCTGCCGGTCAGCTCCAGCGGGGCGGCCCCCAGCAGGAAGTCGTGGGGGGCGAGGCGGGAGGAGTCGGGCAGCGGCCAGAAGATGGCTGGGAAGCGCACGTTGACCAGGCGGGCGGTCTGGAAGGGGGGGGGGATGGTGGAGGTGGTGGGGGAGAGGTAGGGGAGGGAGGGAGGGGCAGAGGGAGATGGAGGGAAAAGAAGGATACGCATTGTGTTGTTTGACGATGATGGCAAACTAGGTGACAAGCCATGAAGGGGGGGGGGGTGGAGAGGCTCAAGGAGGTCTCTCTTCCTCTCACTTTCCTTGCACCACAGACGCACCCTAAAGCAGCCCACATACGCCCCAGCTTGCTGCATGGGCACCGGTACTTGTGCGTGTACACCCCAACAGCCCCACTACTGCAATGTGCCTCCTGCCCCCCGCACAAGAAAAAACCCCACACCCCGCTGCTCAGTTTACCTACCTAATACCCCATACCCCACCCTCCCGGCACCCCCCCCCGCCCCACCTCCCCCTCCTTCCAGGTGAGCGCCAGCTGCTCCCCGTAGGGGCCGAACCGCAGAGACCACACCTGGGGGGAGGGGGAAAAAAGAAATTCCAAAGTGTGGTGTGATAATGATACAAGTTGCTGACAATCCCTGGTGGAAGGGAGGGGGAGGGGAGAGAAGGGAAGAGGAAAGAGAAGGGTACCCAATGTGTCATGAAAAACCAAAACACCGGGTTGGTGCTAACAAGTTAATGCCAACTCGGTATGGTGAACCCCCCTGACGATAAAAAATTAAAAAAATGCTCATCGGGCTTCCCTCCTAAACACTAACAGCAACATACCGTGTCGTACATACACACAAGCCATCCCCCCCCGTACCATGCCGTGACCCGCTGCCTTCATGTCGTACGTGGCTTTCAGCTTGAGCGGCGTCTTGGGGTCCAGGCTGAGCGCGCGCACCTCCGCGCTCTCCCGGCTTCCCACGTACACCAGCCCCTCGCACTCGTCAGCGAGCAGGGAGTGCACCACGGGGGGGAGGGGGGCGGACTCGGCTGGGGGGGGTGAAGGGGAGGGGGGGGGGAAGAGGGGGGAGGCGGGGGTAATGTGTATGGGTGTTACACGTAAGGGGGGCTGTAACCGTGCAGGGGAGGGGGAGGGGGAGGGGGAGGAAGCCACTCGGGAAGCCGGTAATGGCCATAAGGCCAACCCAACTCGCCGAACCCCAAGAATGGGCCGACCCAAATCAGCTAAAGCCAAAAAGAAGGAAGAAGAAGAAGAGGAGGAAAAGGGGGAACATAAAGGGGAAGAAGAGGAGGAAGAAGACAATGCTTTCCCCCTTCCCCCATTACGCCCTCATTCCTCCCCCCCTCACCTATGTACTTCCCCTGCCTGTCGAACCACACCGCCCGTGTGTTGCAGTAGCCGTCCGCCACCAGGAAACTGCCGTCGCGCAGCACCGACACCTGAGGACACGGGCATGTGGGGGGGGGGGGGTCAAAGACCATGGGATCAAACCATAGGAGACCACAAGTTAGGGCAAAGCAATGGGGGTAGGAGTTGGCAGGGACACGTGTGTGTGGGGAAAAAAGAAATTCCAAAGTGTGGTGTGATAATGATATAATGATATATGTGTGGGGGGGGAGGGGTTTGAGAATAAGAGGGGGGGAGGATAGGAGGGAGGGGGCTGGGGGTGGCAGCAGTTTGGGGTGGGGGCTGGCACCGGTGGGAGCAGCACCCGTGCTAGCTGAGTGACATCGGCCCTCCGGAACCACCCACCTCCCACACCACTGCCTGCCACATCCCCAAACCCCACCTTCCCGACATCCTCCCCCCCCCCCACCACCACCCCACCCCACTACAGTCCGGGTCAGTGTTTCCGCGGCTCAGTTCAGCTCATCCCCCCCCACCAGCACACCCACCTGCGTGGGCTTGCAGAACTGCCCGCTGCCCGACCCAGGGGTCAGCTCCTTGCCCACGGACATTAGCAGCTGGCCCTCGGGGGTGAACTTGAGGACCTGGGGGGCAGGGGAGGGGGGGGGGAGGGGAGGGGATGAGAGGTTAGGTGGGGTGGCAGGAGGAAGCCTAACCATGAGACAAACGGCCTCGGGCCATGTGGGGGAAGGGGACGATGGCGGGGGCTCACCACCATCATCTACAGCCACAATGGCTGACCCCCCGAAACCCCTCACCTGATGTCGACCCACATCCGTAACCCACACGTTTCCCTCCACATCCACCGCTATGCTGTGCGGCAGGTAGAACACGCCGCCGCCCCACCGCCGCAGTACGGCACCCGTGTCAGGATCCAATTGTACGACAACCGGCTCCGGAACCGGTGCCTTAGATTTGATGCGGTTGGTGTCGGGGTCAAAGGTATCCTCACGCCACATGCGAGAGCCCCTGCGGGATGTGCATGGGGTGGGGGGTGGGTGGGTGGGTGGGAAAAAAAATACATAATGAGACACTGACGAAGCAACTGACGAGCTGTATGACGAGGCTTCACCGTGGGTTGCTAATTGCACCCGGCCCATCCAACCCTGTATGACCTTTGGGGCCAGGGAGTGGGGACATGGGGGAGAGTGTGTTGCCCCTCATCCCACTTCACACCCCTTCCCTTCCCTCTCTCTACACCCCACCCCCCTGCATTCCTCTACCCCTTGGCCGTGCGTCGCACTTGAGTCGTTCTGCATCCCTTTTATTACTCGCATATCCGCCCACCCCACCTGTACAGCACCCAAAGCGATCCATCAGGCCCAGTTGCCACACCAGTAGCCTCGCCGTACGGCGCAGTACTAATACCTCCCTTGCTGCTGCTGCTGCCCCCACTGCCTCCCCCCTGAGGCCTGGGCGGCTGCCAGAAGGGGGAGGGATCAGGCAGCAGGGTGGCTCGGCGGGGCAGCGCACCGGGGGAGTCCTCTCGGATGTCCTGTGGAGGGGGGGAGGAGGGGGAGGGGGAAGGGGGCGGGGGAGGATGAAACCCAACGTCTGATTGGGTGCTTTAACACTAGTTGATCAATCAATTAGTTGGTTAACGAAGGTCTGTCGAATCCCTTCCCGCTCGGTTTGACGCCCCCTCCCTCCACCTCTCGTCCCTTCCTTACCGCTGCTTCTCCTCCCCGCTCTCCCCTACTGTCACACAACACATAGGATATTCTTCTCCCCCCCCTCTCCCCTCTCCCCCCTCCGCCCCACCAGTCGGTCGTCATCGCACATGGTCATGTACGGCGTCTTGCCGTACACCATGACGTACATGTTGCACATTTCGTGGTTGTGTGTGGGGCCCGCCTCCACAACCGCCGTCCTGGGGGTGGGGGGTGGGTGGGGAGAGGGGGTGGGGAGAGGGGGTGGGGAGAGGGGGTGGGGGGAAGAGGGGGGGGGGGAAAGAGGGGGGGGGAAAGAGGGGGGGGATATAAGCCCAAGTTGGTAACAATGGTGACAACCCGAGGACATACCTTAAGGAAAGAGGCCCTCTTTCCTTCCCCCCCTTCCTCGCTCTCTCTTCCCCCGCCCCTCAGTGTTGTTAGCACCACGTCCTGCCCGCCCTCCTCCCTCCCTAGCCCCTTCCTTTTCCCCGGCGGTCCCTCCCTCCCCCTTCCTTCCCCTCATCCCCATGGGGAAGCACCCATCTCCCCTCCCCCCATCATGAAGGCTTACCACACGGTTACTTAGCTGTTTTCTCCTCCCCCCCTGCCTCCTCTCCTCCCCCCTCCCCCTCCCCCCCCCTCCCCCTCACTTGTCGCTGGAGTCGAAGTCGCAAGTGACAGTCAGCCTGTCCCCCGGCGCCAGGGTGTGGCGGGGGGTGGGCACGAAGGACTGCGGCAGCTGCGGGTCGCGTGAGATCAGCACCTCGCCAACTGGGGGAGGAGGAGGGAGGGAGGGAGGGAAGGGAGGGGAGGGGACATAAATGAAGATGGAAGCAAGGAGGGAGGGAGGAGGAAGAGGAGGGAGGGAGGGGGAGGAGGAGAGGGTAAGGGAGACACCAACACCTCGCCACCTTTGGGCGGGTTGGGGATTACCGGTAGAGAACCTGAGCCGCGAGAAATACTGACCCTGACCGTGGCATACAGGAGAGGGAGGAGAGGGAGGAGAGGCAGGAGGGAGGGAAATAGCTTCCACTGAGCTGAGGAGGAGCGCGGCATGCGCCCCAAACACCCCCCCCCCCACCTGTTCCATTCCACGCCCGCCGTGTCATGTACACCTGCCTCCCCATCGTGTGTGTATGCACCCGTACGGCAAACATGGTGAGCGGCTGGTGGCTCTTGAAGCAGCAGCTGTTCTGGATCAGGTGGGAGGGCTTGCCGGGCGGGATCTGGAACCAGGAGGCGTACGACATGAGCCCCGCGGCGTACGGCACCGCGTGGGGTTTGAGCAGCAGCGTGACACCCGAGTGGTCGCCGGGGGGGCGCAGCGCGAGGTAGTGGACCTGCGTGTGTGTTTGGGGAGGGGGAAGCGCGGGTTTGGGGTAAGGGTGGGGAGAGGGGGGAGTGAGAGGTAAGAACGAGCGGCCCCTTCCTTCTCCCCCATCCATTGGATATTCTTCTTTAACTCCCCCCTCACCTGCCCCCCACCTGCCCCCCACCTGCGCCACGATGTACTTGATGCCTGTCCGCTCCCCCACACTGAAGCCCACCCCCTCCGGCAGGTGCAACTCAGGGGCGTTGCGACCCCAACCGTAGCTAACCGGGGCATGGTGGGGAGGGCGGAAGGAAGGCAGGGGGGGAGAATTAATGATTTAGGTGCAGCAACGGAGTCCCAGGGAGGGGAGGGGAAGTGGGCTCAAGGAGCGACAAAACCATAGAATCCACAGGTTATGGCAAAGCAATGGGGATAGGGTACGTGTGTGGCTTGGAAGGGGTTTAAAGGATATGCAGGTTTCGTACAGGGCTAGGATAAGGAAGCGGGGGGTGGGGGTAGGGAAGACCAGCTATAAGGACAAGTCGCTTGGGTGGGGGTGAGGGTGACAGGGGCGCAGCGGAAGAATGTAAATACCGGTACTACAGGGGGAAAAATGTGCCCAAATGGCAGGGGAGGGGAGGTGAGACAGCATCACGCAGTGCCACCTGTTGGGTCCCTGCTCCCCCTTTTCGCTGTGCTTAGGGGTGCATGTCTCCCTCTTCGGCCGACAAAAAAAGGTGGGAGGGGGCAGTACAGCTCCACGGTTCAGTTGCTTTCGACACACACATGCAGGCAGTGCACACTCATCCTCGCGGGTCCAGTTGTGTACTTGTGTTGGGAGCTTAGGAGATTAGGACGCACCCCCCCCCGCTGCTGCCGTATTCATAGCACCCCCCTGCTGCTGCCGTACTCACAGCACGGTGGAGGAGGGTCCGTTGCAGACGGGCTGCATGTCGCATCGCCACACGGTGACATCGGAGGAGTTGCGGGGGGTCAGGTGCGGCTCGGCGCAGCCTGCCGGAGGGGTGGAAGGGGGTAGGAGGGGGGCGGGGCAGCAGGGTGAGGCAGGAGGTGGGGGTGTACGGGAGTGGGGTGTATGGAAGGAGAGGTTTGGGAGGGCGGACGGGGGCTAGGCGGGTAGGAGGAGAGGTGGAGGTGGGGAGTTGCAATTGTTGTGGCCGTGCAGCATGAGTCATGGCACGATTAGGATTAGGTGATTAGGCTAAAGGAATTTGAAAAGGGACCAGGAACATACCGTACAGGAGGATGTGGTGCACCACCTCTTGCCGGGCACGCGGAATGACGCCGATGAGTTTGTGTGGGTTGGGCGGCAGGATGCCCGATACGCAGACGTAAGCATCCTCATCTTTGACCTCATATGGCGGGACGGTGATGTTGTATTCGATGTGGTGTGCGTGGGCTGAGGCTGCGAAGAGCAGGGCGATGATTGCAACGACAAGCTGAACGCGGCTTTGAATCTCCATCTCTGAACGGGTGCCTTCGCTTTATATTGATCCTATAGTGAAAAGCGGTGCATTAAGCGAGTTCGCTCCACTTGGCGAGACGAAAAGCTTTTCGCCTGTCAATTTTTACGTGTTTCTCTATTCAGACAGAGCATGCTACCGCAGATCATGTATTCACAATATAGATATTTCGGAACGTTCCATGTCCCACGACGCCACGAGCCAAGGTTCCAGCTACCGAAGTACCGAAGTCCTACGACGAGAGGTTTACGTAGGCTTGAGCAAATAAGCCAATTCTTCAAAGTTAATAGAGCATAACAACGCAACCTCTTTCCTTAGGTGCCTGTAGTCTTAAATGCCAAATTGAAAAGCGTGAATCATGTCAACCGCTCGACCGTACACAGCCGAGAGGAGTCCGTCCCCTGTACGCTGTACCGCCCTTTCAAGACGGTATGCTGACTGTAGATGCCCATGGAACTAAATCCTTTCTATGCAAGGCTCTTCCTTTCCTCGTCTCTCGGCGCCCTTAACGCCTTATGGCATCAGATTGTACGGCCAAGAGTACGGCGATGCACGCCGCACCTGGGAATCCGGGATCCAGAATGCTTCTTCCGACAATTACAACGGGGGCAGCAGCAGAAGACTGAATGGATAGCTGCTACTAGGCAGCCCAAACAATGATGATCCATGGTCATCATCAGTCCTTACGTCACAGCCAACACCCAATCACGTTGAATCGCATTGCCAGAACAGCGGCCCCACGTTGGGGGCGGGGGAATTTCCCACCAATTAGGACTGTAATCACGCTCACAGCAATCACAAATCTCCCCTCTAGTTAACAGACGCCACATCGCGTGGAGGATCACACAATCCGTAAATTGTATGTTTCAATAACTACCAAGTAATGTCGTACACACATTAGCGCACATACCTACACTCGCAACCGCCCTCAAGAGATGGCAACGGCGGCAGCAGCTGCACGCCGAACGCCACAGCATCACAGCTGTGTTGCACTGCCTGCCTTCCTGCACATACCTACATGCATGCATGCATGCGCCTGCTTAGCTTGCTTGACGCCTGCCCGCAAGTGGCCCCCCTACCTCGTGCATGCTGCGCTAGCCCGGGTTTCACTCCTACCCTGTCCTACTCTCTTCCTACCCCTCCCCTATGCCCGTTTCTTGTGTCCTTATCCCATCCCTTTCCCATGCAAACAACCCGGCATCTCATGCAAACAACCCATGCAAGCCTCCCTTTCATTCTCTCTCACATCTCAACCTGCTTTGCATCCCCTTCCTCCAACTTTTGCCATACCGGCTCCAACACCACCCCACCTCACCTTCTCTCCTGCCTCCAACCATCCACCCACATGCAAACCGGACATACCGGTAAGCCCCGGCATTTTCGTACACATCACTACATGGTGGCCCCAGTTTTTCTCCCAACCCCAACCCCAAGCTCCCAACCGGGGCCTTCAGTGGTGGCCTCACACCAGAGCCATTCCATCTGGGTCGGCGGGCGGCCGCGCCTCCCGCTCGTAGGGATTCACACTCCACATGCTGAGCCGCTTGAAGCCACCCGAGGTAGGCACGAAGGGGCGCGCGGGGGAGGGCGACTGGGACTTGGGCTGCGTACGGCAGGGGTGGGGTGTGGGCAGGGGGGTGAATGGGTGGGGGCAGGGGAATAGGGAGTGGATAGGGGAAGCAGCAGGGGGGAGTAAAGGGGTGCCAAGGGTGGACGCCAGGTGCGGGGCTTTAGTCCAGTGCTTTTCGTCGTCTATGTGCGTCCTCAGCAGCACGCATGCCTCCCAGCCTCCAACACGCACACACACGACCACCGCCAACCCCCCCACCGACACTTTGGGTGTTCTTCTTTTCCCCCTCAACACTTTGTTTTGTGGCACCCTGCCGCCTCCTATCCCCATTGCTTTGCCCTAACCTGTGGTTTCCTATGGTTTGGTATGGTCTTTGACCCCCCTCCCCCCCGGCATCACCCCGCCCACCTTATCCCCCGGCTCGGGGCAGGGTACGTAGGCTGGCTGGCTGAGCAGGCCGCAGTAGGGCCCGCGTGCCGCCGGGTTGTTGGGGCGCCAGGCGGGGCGGCCGGGGGCCTCGGAGCGGGGGCGGCTGGGGGGGCGCCGGGGGGGCGTGGCGTAGAGCTGGGGAGGGGGGGCGGGGGGAAAAGAAGGGGACGGGAGGGCGGGTGGGGGGAGGAGGAGGGGATACATGGAAAGTGCGGGTGGGAGGGTCAGCATGATGGGGAGGGTCAGTGGATTCCCCTCCCGGCTCCCCCCACCTCCCCCCTCACCGCTGTGTCCCCCCCCCCCCTCACCTGATTCGTTGTTTCACTTTTATATAATTTTCCCCCCTCACCTGGCTGTCCGGCGTGAAGCAGCCGCTGGTGCGGGTGCCGTGGCAGAAGGGCTTGGGGATGCGGGCGCGGGCCTCGGTCTTCATGCTCTGTTGGAGGAGAAGGCGGGGCGGCGGGGAGGCGGAGGCGGAGGAGGAGGAGGAGGAGACGTGCCAGGCTGTGAGCGAGTGCGGGAGGGGGATGAGGAGGAGTAGGGGGGAAGATGGCCCGGGGGGCCCGGGGCAAAGTGTGGAACAGGTGAGGACGCCTGTGGGGACCCATACCCCTCCTGGCAGTCACAGTACGTTCTAACTCGCGGCCAGTTACCCCTAGTACACACCCACCCAAACCCAGTTTTCCTTGACATACCTCCCCACCCCGCGCCCCCCCCCACCTTCTCCAGAATCCTTCCCCGGTTGTACTCGTCCGGTACGTACTTGTACGAACCGCCTGCCAGCAGCCGGTACTGGTCGGGGTAGCTGGGGGGGGGAGGAGGAGGGGAGGAGGAGGGGAGGAGGAGGGGGGGGAGGAGGGGGGGAGGGGAGGAGGGGAGGGGAGGAGGAGGGGGGGGAGGGGAGGAGGAGGGGGTAGGTAGTGGAGGGAGGGCGAGTTCCGTGGGAGGCGCATACCCCACCCACCCAAACATTACGTGTCAGGGCGTTTCCATTCGCCCTCTCCCCTACCCCTACCCCGAACCCTTCACCTCTGTCCCCCACCAGCCCCGCTACCCACCCTGGTCCTCCCCGCTTGGGGTTGTTGGTGTAGATGTTGCCCAGGGGCCGGGGAGGGTCGGAGGGCGCGGTGATGGGCCTTGCGGATGGGGGCGCGGGAGGAGGCAGGGAGGGAGGGAGGGAGGGAGGGAGGGAGGGAGGGAGGGAGGGAGGGAGGGAGGGAGGGAGGGAGGGAGGGAGGGAGGGAGGGAGGGAGGCAGGGAGGGAGGCAGGCAGGGAGGGAGGGAGGGAGGGAGGGAGGGAGGCAGGGAGGGAGGCAGGGAGGCAGGGAGGCAGGGAGGGAGGGAGGGAGGGAGGGAGGCAGGGAGGGAGGCAGGGAGGCAGGGAGGGAGGGAGGGAGGGAGGCGAGAAAGGGTTACAGACTCCTTTTTCGGGTGCGGGCGGCCGTCCGTCCAAGGCTGTGCTGCAGCCTTCCAAGGATACCCAGTTCATTAAAATTAAAACTAACGCGTTAACATTCCCAACACTTAACTCACTGGGTTGCCGCACGCACACCCAGCTTCCATCCCTCACCAGCAACCCCACCTGCAACCCCACCAGCAACCCCTCCCCCTACCTCCGGGCGTTGGCGTCCGGGTCAAAGAAGATGTCGTTGGGACCAAAGGTGCCGTACAACGACCCCGCGTTGCGACCCCTGTGTTGCGACCCCATCACACATCACAAGCAGGGAGGAGGAGGAGGAGGGGCGCGGAAAGAGGGGAGGAGGACGGAGGAGGAACGGGTGTGTTGAAATGGAGCCGCCAGAGTATCGGGGAGGAGCAGTAGAAGGAGCAGGTAGGGCGGTACCCAGCACAGTACACAGCTCGGAACAGCACACGCAGTAAGGGAGGCTATTGGTACCCGGGTTGAAGGGTCCCCCCACATATTCCGGAGCGCCCCAGTCCCCACACCGTGTGATGGCTGATGGGGTGATCTGTTAAAGAGATAAAGGGCAAGGCCAAGCCAGTACTCGCCCGCATACCTTCTTGCAACCGTCCCCCATTGCCTACGTGCCCTCCCCCCCCCCCACACACACACACTCGCGGCCAGTTTTCTTAGCACACACAGTCCAGTACGTTCCTCCCTGCGGCCAGTCTCTCCCTCTTCCGCTTCCCCTGCGCCCCCCTTCACTCACGACTTGGCTGCCGGGTGGCTGGGTCTGAAGGGCTTGTCGGAGATGCGTCCGCCGCTGTCAGGCTCCGAACCCGCCCCGGGACCCGCCCTGGCGGCTACGATGGTGGGTAGGTCGAGGGGCTCGCAGTAGCTGTCGCTCTAGGGAGGGAGGTGGTGGAGGAGGGGAGGAGGGAGGGGAGGAGGGAGGGGAGGGAAGGAGGGGAAAGGGAGCAGGTGTGGGAGGGAGGAGGAGCGGGTGTGATGGGGTTTGTGGGAGCTGACGTTTCGGCGGCTGTGTTGGTGGCTAAATAACTAAGGAAGCAGGTGCGCGGATGGCTTGGTTGTGCATGTATCCTGCTTAGTTACCGGTGTGATGAGCTGTAGGTTCTTGTCTAGCCATGTGTCCCTGCCATGGCCTTTGATGGCGGAGAGGTTGTTAACAATTAGCTGCTTCCCCTGGTGCCGGGCTGGAGGAGGTTTTGTGTGGCAGGGGAGAACAGGGAGGAAGAGGAGGCAGTCAGCTGGAAGCAAAGAATGCCAAGTGGTTCCGGGCTGCTATGCGATTGCACCATGCTGCCCATCGGTAAGGGTATTCTGTTGGCGACGATAGGCTGCGAAGGCCGCTTACTACTGGTAAGGAAAAGGGGCGCGTTACCAGGTACACCCCCACAGCAAGGGAACAAACAGCAAACGCGATGAACAGGGTGTGCACTCAGGCAAGCATTGGTTGCTAGTGAGGCCCTTCTAAAGGCGAATGGATGTACCCCAATCACATTATGGTTACCGGTGAAATGAATCCAAGAGGTGATAACTTTACTAACCCTCCGGGAAGGCACATCCATGTCAGCTTACTATGTGTCTCCACCGGCTTCTCATATGGCTCGCCGCTGACAGCAAGCCCCTTCTCCTCTTTAAATACTCCAAAAAGTGGCTCGTCAGCCATCTCTGTATCGGTTGTCCACTAAAAGCTCGATTGCCTTAGAGCATGCCGACGACAACGTTCACGGCGGCAACATACTAACTCATTTTGAATGCATCTAAGCCTTTTGCATTATCATCCACGTTTGATGGTGTAAGCCTTGAAACCACAGCAGTTCAGGTCGCTATTCCTCTAGAACGTACAAGGGAAGCTGCGAGCGTAAGCGTCCTCGGGGTAAATAAAGACGGCACATCAAACGGCTGCGGAAGGCCCAGACGAATGGCGCAAGGAAAAGAATTCGTTGCTAACCGCCGTACCGAAGGTGCCTGGGTCACAACATCCCTCGGCCATCCGGTAGCCTTTACCTCCTTGTAGTGAAACATTTCTCCTCAGCGGTGAGGTCTAGTTGCTACGCATAATTCGACAGTGGCTTTCTAGGCGCGAACACCTTGGTCACAGCTTTAGGCTTTTGCGGGACCGCAGATCTGCCCCATGCGCTGTTCTCATTCCCACCTTTACTTAGTACCATAGCGCGCCAGTACATTTGCCACCTTTCAGGCTCTGCGGGTCTGAGCTACCGCGGGTGAAGCCCAGCGAACGGAAAGCTCGGCAATGGCCGCCAAACCTTCGCCTGGCAAAGACGACCAAGGCCGCAAAGCCATGGAAGTAGATGAACCTCCGGTTCCGGGCAGCGCATCTGCCGGCTGCTATAACTATGTGGTCACGGCACACAAGCCAACCGCGGTGACGCATGCCGTGGTGGCCAGCTTCACCGGACCCAACGACGTAAACCTAATCACCGCGTAAGCTCATATATGATCATAACTTTGCTTTCCCGCGGTGCATTCCGACTTTACAACCTAAGCAAGAGTTCGTCGCCTACCACGTACATCTGGCTCACAGGTGTTGCACGCGCCTGGAAATTCGGAGTCTGGGAGCTCAGGGCATGTCGGTAAGACGGGAGGGGTGCGACAACAGCTGGGCTGATGGGGGTGATGGGAAAGCGACGTCTGGATTTAGAGGGACGCAGGAGGAGGACGTGCACGAGGGGGCGCTCGAGCTTGTACCCACCCCATCGCCTCCCACCTTCCTCGCGTTGCCCGCTACACCTCTTGTTCGGGTACACGCTGCTAGAACAGCGTGCCCTTCCCCTCGTCACCCGCCCTCCCACCTCATGTCATTTTGGCCTATCATTCTCCAACCTCCTCCCCAACCCCACTGCCCCACCCTTCCAACCATGTCCTGCCCCCTTTCCTTACCCCTTCTCCCCCTCCCCCGACACAAAAGGCCCCCCTGGACGTACCGCTGTACGGCAACGTCAGTGCGCTACAGGCCTTCAGACCCCGGGTGGGTGGGTGGCCTGGGGGTGGGTGGGTGGGTAAGGAAGAAGAAGAAAGAGTGGGTGGGTGGCATCGGGGTGTTCTTGCGTTGAGGAGGGGTGATTGTGTAGGTAGGTTGTGAGAGCGGGTGGTTAGGATGGGGAATTGGGCCACAGGGGTGGGAACAGGCTGGCCGTGTATGTACGAATCGTGCCAACGTGTTGTGTTTGCCGTGTCTTTGCACCCCCTCTCACTCCCGCCTCAGGACCTACAAACCGACCTGCTCTTCATCCTCACTGAGAAGCTCAAGTTCTGTGTGCTGCAGTACGATACGGCAAAAGGTACGACACCACCGTACAAACGCGTTTTGTAGGTGTTGTGTTTAGGTTACCAGTATGTTCGTACACATTCCTCATTTAAGGTGTTCTTTCGACGTTTCGACCATTCGCATTCCTTCCCAGTCCTACCTTCCCTAATTCATACCCTATGTCAGCGCCTCCATTAAACACCATTCCCAACCACCTCCCAACCACCCCAGGCCAGATCATCACTCGCGCCAACGGTGACGTGTCGGACCGCATCGGTCGCCCCGCCGCTAACGGTCAACTGGGGTTCGTTGACCCCGCGTGTCGGGTGGTGGGACTTCACCTGTACGACGGAATACTCAAGGTGCGGTACTGGTACGGCAGCAGCAGTAGGGAGGAGGGGAGAGAGGGTGGTGGGGCGGCAACAGCAGCAGGGAGGAAGGGGGGGAGGAGGGTGGTGGTGGGGGATGGCAGCAGCAGCAGCCGGGGACCGCAGGCCCCGGCTTGCACGCAGACCCCGCCTTACCCTTCCCTCCTTCCCCCAGTTATGCAATACCCTCCTCATGCGCGCCCCTAACAAGCACCTTAGTCCCTTCGCAAGTAACCCATGCAAGAAATCTTACCACCCCTCCCCCCATGCACCCCCTCCCCCCATGCATCCCCCTCCCCCCATGCACCCCCTCCCCCCATGCAACCTCCTCTCGGTATGTTCTTTGCCCCCCCCCCCCCCCCCAGGTGATCCCCATGTCCCCCCGCACCGGCTCCCTGTCGGAGGCCTTCAACCTGCGACTGGAGGAGCTGCTGGTGCTGGACATGGCATGGATAACGCCACCTGCATCAGGGGGGGCGGGGGGGTCGACAGGTGGTGGAGGAAGGGCAGCAGGAGCAGCAGGAGGAGCAGCAGCAGCAGCAGGGGGTGGTGGTGGTACCAGGCCGCTGCTGGCGGTGTTGCATGAGGACCCCAAGCGGGCCCGGCATGTGCGCACGTACGAGGTGGACCTGGAGGCGAAGGTGGGGGGGAGGAGGGGAGGAGGGACCCCGTGTGTTGTGCGTTGCCGTACGTCGACCCGCCCGCTCACATCCCCGCTGCTCCCCCCTCCTCCTACCCCCAATTCATTGTGTATTCTTCTTCCCCTCCCCCCCCCCTCCGCCTTCCCCCCCCCCCCCGCTACAGGAGCTGCTGGAGGGTCCTTGGCAGCAGGCGCATGTGGATGCAGGGGCGGGGCTGCTCATACCCGTGCCCGCCCCGCTGGGGGGGGTGCTGGTGGTGGGGGAGAACGTGGTGGCGTACCTTGGGGGAGGGGGGGGAGGGGGGCCGGTGGCGGCGCCGCTGAGGCAGACCATTGTCACGGTGAGAGGGAAGGGGGAGGAGGGAAGGGAAGGAGGGGGATGAGGGAGGCAGGGATTTGGGAGGGAGGGGGAGCAGGGAGGGAGGAGGGACGAGGAAGGAGAGAAGGGGGAAGGGGGAGGAGGGAAGAGGGAGGAAGGAGGAAGGGATTGGGGAGGTGGAGAGGGAGGAGAGAAGAGGGAAGAGGGAGGAGTGGGGTTGGGAAAGAAGGAGAGGGCCACGGTTGGGGAAGAAGGGCCCCCAGGGTGCTACCACGATCACCCCATGTGGCCCCTTTGCTTCCCGCCTACCCAGCTGCCCCTCACGATGCGTACCCCCTCCCTCCCTCCCTCCCTCCCTCCCTCCCTCCCTCCCTCCCTCCCTCCCTCCCTCCCTCCCTCCCTCCCTCCCTCCCTCCCTCCCTCCCTCCCTCCCTCCTTTACACCCACACCCAGATCTGCCCTTACCACGGTCTTATCCTTTTTCACCTCCCCCCTTTGTCTTCGACCCCCCTCCCCGCCCCCCCCTCACCAGTCCTGGTGCCCAGTGGACTCCGACGGCTCCCGCTTCCTTCTGGGTGACCGACTGGGCCGGCTGCAGCTGCTGGTGCTCACACAGGAGGGGGGGTCGGCAGCGGGGGGAGCAGCAGGCAGCAGCGGTGCCGGCCCTAGCAGCAGCAGCGGTGTCAGCAGTGGTGGAGGGCGGCGGGTCACGGGTATTCGATTGGAGCAGTTGGGGTTCACGTGCTCACCCTCTTGCCTGGCGCATATCGACGCGGGGTTGACGTTTGTTGGGTCGCGCGGCGGGGACTCGCAGCTGGTGCGGATACGTGCTACACCGGTGAACCAGGTAGGGGGGAGGGAAGGGGAGGGTTATGTGTGTGTAGTTTAGGGTGACACGCACTCACACAATGCATGGCTGTTGTCCGACTACTGAATCGTGAAGCTCACCAACACTTGAGCCTCTTAACCCCACCCCCCACCCCCACCCCCCATCCCCCAGCCGGTCCCCATGGACGACGACGGGGCGGGTGGCGAGGCCGCTGCTGCTGCTGCTGCTGCTGCTGCTGCTGCTGCCGAGCCGCCCACCTACATCGAGTTGGTGGACAGCTACCCCAACCTGGGGCCCATAGTGGACTTTGTGGTGATGGATTTGGAGAGGCAGGGGCAGGGGCAGGTGGGGATGGGAGGGAGGGGAGGGGCGGGGGGGAGGGGAAGCAGAAGACCCAATGTGTTGAAGGGGCAGGGGGGCGGGGGGAGGGAAAAAAGGCGAACCAGCGTGTCTGCAAGTGTGGGGTTTGCTGTGCTAGGGGATGTAAAGGAGGCTGGTGAAAACCGCATTTGGCTGGATTATAGGCTGGTTTAAAGGTTGCCAGGGGAAGGGAGGTTTTCTGGGTGAGGGGTTTCGTCAGCGGGTTTGTGGGGGTCATAGCTGTTCACCCGCACCTGCATCCGCACTCGCAGCGGCACAGCGCCCCTCTTACAACCCTCGCTCCCATCCTGCCTCCCACTGCTGCTGCTTCCCTTCCCCCTTCCCCCTTCCCCCTTCCCCCTTCCCCCTTCCCCCTTCCCCCTTCCCCCTTCCCCCTTCCCCTTCCCCCTTCCCCCTTCCCCCTTCCCCCTTCCCCCTTCCCCCTTCCCCCTTCCCCCTTCCCCCTTCCCCCTTCCCCCTTCCCCCTTCCCCCTTCCCCCTTCCCCCTCATTGGGACTCCCTTGATGCACTCCCCCCCCTCCCAGTTGGTCACCTGCAGTGGTATCGACGGCGATGGCAGCCTGCGAGTCATCCGCAACGGGGTCGGCATCAACCGCCAGGCGACGGTGGAGCTGCCGGGGATCAAGGTGCGCGTGTACGGCACATACCGGGAGGGGAAGAACATAGCCAAGTGCAGGAGTGTCCTTTGTCCAGGAATCCCTGATGAAAGGCGTGTCTACTGGTCCTCCCCCCAACCCTAACCTGTGGTTTCCTATGGTTTGGTAGGGTCTTGGACCCCCCCTAAACTCCCCCCTCTGACCCCTCTTGCTTTCCCCGCCCACCCCTCCCTCCCACCCCCCATTCCCACCCCCCAGGGTGTGTGGAGTCTTCGCTCCCGCTTCTCCGCCCGCCACGACACCTTCCTGCTGCTTACCTTTGTGGGGGAGACACGCGTGCTGGCCCTGAACGAGGAGGAGGTGTGGGGGGGGGAGTTTAGGGGCGGGCAGGGTTGGTGGTGGTGGTGGGGGGTGATGATGAGGAAGGAACCGGTCATGGAAAAGTGCGTGGTGGGTATATGACCCACCCACCCTTTGCCCCTTGGGATTGCCGTGCCTCAATTCTCTTCCCTCCATTTATCTTCCCTCCAACCCCTCCCTCCCCCCCCCCTCCGAATGCGCTCACTGCATGAGTCGGGATATGGGATTGGGACTTAGTTGTTTGCATTTCTTATATAATTTTCCCCCCTTCAGGAGCTGGACGAGGCGGAGCTACCCGGGTTCGACTCCTGCAGTCTCACGCTGTGGTGCGGCAACATGGCACCCGACCACATGGCGCAGGTAGGGGGGAGGAGGTGAGGGAGGGGGCAGGGAGGGGAGGGAGAGGGGCAGGGAGGGGAGGGAAGGGAGAGGGGCAGGCAGGGGAGGGAGGGGGGCAGGGAGGGGGGCAGGGAGGGGAGGGAGAGGGGCAGGGAGGGGGGAGGGAGAAGAAGAAGAACCATGCGTTGATATGACTGTGTTAAGTAAACTGGCCGCGAGTCGGAATGTAGGTGTTTGATAGAGTGTGTGATAGAGCGGGATGTGGCCGTTATGTCGCCGCTTGTCTCACCAAAGCAGCCGCGCTTTTCT